TTGAGATGGAAGCAGCAAAGTTGAAATTCAACACATGCTGAGGGCTGAGGGCTGCTGAGGGCTTATGAAGAACTTATTTTCTGCCAGTGCCATTTTCAAGATCTTTCTGGGGCATAATGCTTTCTTAAAACTTTTTAGTCTTACAGGGGCATGATATCCTATAAAAGTTCGTATTTCACAAGTGATTATTTAAATACCTGAATTCCATTTTGAGTTTTGCCATTGTTCTTAAATCAGATTTCAGTTTCACATTTATTCTAACGGATTACCAGTATATATATAGAATTTATATATATATATAATATAAAAATATTATTTATATATAATAAATATATATATTATTCAGATAGAATGGTGAACATGAATGGAGATTTTATTGCTGAAGCAGTAAGTTTATAAACTGCTTTCCTTTTATTTTCATTAATATATTCCCACACATGGGATTAGCAATGTAGTTACTGGGGAGAAGCTTAATAGTTCTCCCTCTCTAGTTTGTCTTCCCCAAAAATATGCTGGAAGCAACTGTAATACGTCAGAGATGTGGGAGATATGCAGCAAAAGTGCTTTATTTTAAAGCAATTCTGGAATGCACAGAGGGTCAGTGACAATACAAAAGCTGCTGTGAGGACCAGCACTTATACGAGTTCACAGATCAGACAAAATTGAGCTAAAAAGCCACTTTTGTCTCTTCCCTTCAGATGTGTTCTTCTGTGCTATGTCTCTTAAATGAAGAAATACAGAATATACCTCTTTATGAAATATATAATGTTATGAACTGTATTTCAAGCATGTCAAACTGGAGAAAGCATTTGTATGTGTAAAAGTATGCTACACAAAAGTAGTCTGAAAAAATGATTATTGAGATACCTGTAATGTAATCTGGTACAACCAAAAGATATTGGAATATTGATTTAGAACAATTTTCTTCTACACAATTTTATTTTTTTTTGTTATGTTATACCCCATGAAATCTAACAAATTTTATCTCAAAAACTAATTGTATACCTTCAGGTGGATTTCCTAGTGTGGCACATTTGCTGATTTTTGATAGGTGTAGGTTTGAAATTCTGTAACTGTAGACCAGACAAAAGAGTATTTTGGGATTACAGGAACTTTGTAAAACTTGCTTGTATGACAGTATTTTTTGTTCTTTTTAATAGAGAATAATTAAAATATTACTTTTATTAGCTGTACTAAATATTTCTCTGATGTTTTCAACCTGAATTTTTTAACACATTAAGAAGTATAAAGTTTACTACAAGCTTATGAAGTATATCACTGAAGAAAGGCATTAAATTCACTCATAAATAATTCAAAGTTTATGACTAATAGCCCACTTTATCGCTCATTTTCTTTCACCTAAATACAAATTTTGTTACCCAGACTAGTTTAGTCATGTTGATTTTCTTCCTTGTGTTTCAATGATGCATTTGTGACTCAATTTCTTAGTTATTTCTTTACATGAATGTATGTCCCACTGAGAGTTCATATTCCACAGGAAACTTTCTCATTGTGTAGAAATAGTCCTATTTGAAGTGTTGATACAGAGCTTGATGTAGTTGTCCAAATGGAGATATTTAATATTATTTGATATACTATACTGTTTCCAAGAGATATAAACAAGGCTTAGCTGGAGGCCAGGGAAGGCTATTGAATGACGCTTGTAATGAATAATAGCATTCTTTATTAACTACACTGAAATACAGATCTGTGGAATTTGTACTTTAAAAAATATCATTGTAAAATATTGAGGTCCAACAGGGAAGACTATGTTTGCATTCTTAAAAAAAAAAAAAAGGTACATTTGAAGGGCAAAAACTAATTACTTAAAAATACTTAACAATATACTTAAAATATCAGTATATCAGAATACCAATCTGGCTACTGCCGTCAAAGACAACAAAAAATGATTTTACAAATACATCAATGCAAAATGGAGGACTAAGGAGAATCTCCAGCCTTTACTGGATGCGGGGGGGAACTTAGTTACAAAAGATGAGGAAAAGGCGGAGGTGCTTAATGCCTTCTTTGCCTCGGTCTTTAGCGGCAAAACCAGTTGCTCTCTGGATACCCAGTACCCTGAACTAGTGGAAGGGGATGGGGAACAGAATGTGGCCCTCATTATCCATGAAGAAATGGTTGGCGACCTGCTATGGCACTTGGATGTGCGCAAGTCGATGGGGCTGGATGGGCCCCATCCACCGAGGATACTGAGAGAACTGGTAGAGGAGCTGGCCAAGCTGCTTTCCATCATTTATCAACAGTCCTGGCTATTGGGGGAGGTCCCAGTCAACTGGCGGCTAGCAAACGTGACGCCCATAGACAAGAAGGTCTGGAGGGCAGACCTGGGAAACTGTAGGCCTGTCAGTTTGACCTCAGTGCCAGGGAAACTCATGGAGCAGATTATCATGAGTGTCATCATGTGGCATTTACAGTGCAATCAGGTGATCAGGTCCAGTCAGCATGGGTTTTTGAAAGGCAGGTCCTACTTGACGAACCTGATCACCTTCAGTGACAAAGTGACGTGCTTGGTGGATGAGGGAAAGGCTGTGGATGTGGTCTACCTTGACTTCAGCAAGGCTTTTGACACAGTTTCCCACAGCATTCTCCTCAAGAAACTGGCTGCTCGTGGCTTGGACTGGCGTATGCTTCATTGGGTTAAAAACTGGCTGAGTAGCCGGGCCCAAAGAGTCGTGGTGAATGGAGTCAAATCCAGTTGGAGGCCGATCACTAGTGGCGTTCCCCAGGGCTTGGTACTGGGGCTGGTCCTCGATGATCTGGATGAGGGGATCGAGTGCACCCTCAGTAAGTTTGCAGATTAAAGGACGCTGTAGAGAGGTGGGGGTTGGTCTATTCTCCCATGTGCCTGGCGACAGGACGAGGAGGAATGGGCTGAAGTTGCACCAGGGGTGTTTTAGGTTGGATATTAGGAAAAACTTCTTTACTGAGGGGGTTGTGAGACATTGGAATGGGCTGCCCAGGGAAGTGGTGGAGTCACCATCCTTGGAGGTCTTTAAAAGATGTTTAGATGTTGAACTTAGTGATATGGTTTAGTGGAGGACTAAACCATAGTTAGTGTTAGGTCAGAGGTTGGACTTGATGATCTTGAGGTCTCTTCCAACCTAGACAATTCTGTGATACTTAAAATATCAGTAAACACCTGCATATTATTAAACTCCCTTCTATAGCTAAACCCACTCTTTCTCACATACACCCCCACCAACACACAGACACACACACTCACATAGATAGAGGTCATACATATCACCAGCCCTCCGCTTCCCTGTGAGCTGTGCTTTACCTCTGTGCTCCTGTGGGTCATGTTGGTGTTCTGTTTTTGAGTGTACCCCTGCTGCTCCTAAAACCCCACTGACTGACACACTGCTGAGAAAGCATTTCAGAGGCTTATGCTCAGACATCCAAGGTGTAGTCCCAGTACTGTCAGCCTGCATATCGGAGCCCATGGTGTCCTACTTCTCACCAGCATGCAGCTGTTCATTCTACCCCACTCCAGTGTGAAAAAAAAAAAAAAAGGGAGAGTATGAATTTTTGTGTTTTATTCTTGCTCCAAGCTATTTTTTTTTTTTGTTTCAAAAATAAATAAATAAATAACCATCTTTGTAACTTCCTAGCTACCGTTCAAATGACTGGTGGTTGTTTTCTCTTTTACATCATCAGTTTTGGGCCATCAACCTCTCAGTTTTTCATGTTCCATTCACATCAACTGTTTACTCTCATACTCTTGTCTTATTAATGCTGTTATGTAGGTCATTTTGCCAAATATTGGTTCATGTGAGTAGCTGCAAAAGTGACCTCAATTTATTATAATTTATACTGATGTCCTGGTTATGACTGGGATAGAATTAATTTTCTATTTTCTACTCTAATTTTTAGCTGATATGGTGCTGTGTTTTGAATTTAAGAGGGAAATAATATTGATAACACACTGATATTTTACTTGTTGCTGAGAATTTAAGCCCTCCTTCATTTCATAAAAGAAACAGCATTTGAAAGTCAAACTGTGTAAAATCATTCACTACTAAGTTAAAGACCTATGGACTTAAAGTCTTTAAGTGAATTATTAACAATAGGATTTTAACAATGCTCTAATGGAATACTGAGTTTTATGAATGTATAATGATGGAAAGATTATATTTTTCCTTAATGCTTGTGGTGGTTTTACCGTGCTAGGCAGCTGAACACCACAACTGCTCTCTTTCTCCCCCTCCTTAGATGAGGAGGGGAAGAAGTAAAGTAAAGAACAACTCATGAGTTGAGATAAGGATAATTTAATTAAAGGGAAATAATAATAATAATAATAAAGGAAATATTATTATTAACTAAACAATTTAACTAAAGGGGAAAAAATTTTCCCTTTCTTTTCTTCCCTATTGGACTGTCTTTATCTCAACACATGAGGTTTAACTTTTTTTTTTTTTTTTTTTCTGATTCTTTCCCCCATCCCACTGGCTATATGGTGATTAGCTGCCTGCATGATTAAACAACAACAATTAATTCACCTTTTGTTTTTTGTAATATAAAGCTTGTCTAAACAATGAGTATTTTTATTCCAGATATTTCTTTACCCATTTTGAGAAACAGACATAGCTATTTTGAAAAAATAAGTGATTTTGTCAAAAAGCAGTACAAAATTCTTACCCGTCTCAGCTATACCTATATTGTAAAAACAAACAAACAAGCAAGCAAACAAACAAACAAACAAACAAAAAAAAACAACACATAAAAACTATTGCATATTGTTGTTCAGAAGAAGTAAGTGAATGCGTTTTGATAGATTCCATTAGTTTAGAGCTGCTAAGGATTGGGCTTTCTATCAGTGGAAATGTAGGTCAGGCAAAATGGGAAAGAACATACTGGAATACTATGAAATTTGAAAAGTCCTTGTGGTTCGTGGTAGATAATTAACTAAAAGCTCAGAGTGCAAACTAGTAGAATATAAGAAATGTTGATTATTAAGTAACTAAACACAAAGTGGGAGAGTAGAAATATGTAATAATTTACTCATGCAGTAGGTACAGTTCTTACAGTAACCACTCAGCAGCAAAACTTTTGGAAAGCAGAAACCATTGAGAAGGAATCCTAAATGTGAGTTGAAGCAATGAGAATTACTTCAGAATGAAATATTTATTAACTTAAATTTACTTTAAGAGGATACTTAAGTGGCTTTGAACTTTAATGATGCAATACAAAAAAAAAAAGCTTTTGTTTTTGTTGTTAGATAAACCATATAATTATTAATTTATACAAATAATCATAATATAAATCATAGAATAAAATCCAATAAAGTAAAATCTAACAATATACAATTATAAAAATAGACCATACAATTATAATTTAAATAAACTAGAACTCTCCAGTTTGAAGAAGGAAAAAAAAAGTTTTTTAAAAAGTTTGACTGTAGAAATTATGTGTAAATCACAGCGTGTAAATCACAAGTAGTGTGGGAAACATTAATTGAAAACTTTTGTACATGAATAGGACACATCATGTAGTAGCACATCTAGTCCTACATCTAGACCCCAATAAGACATTTAGTTATAAGAATAAAGAAATTAAAATGGTTTAACAGATGGCAAATTCAAAACAAAACTACAGAGGTAGTTCTCATTACATGTAATTCCATTGTATATTTTATTTTTAGCAAGACATGGATTGTAGAATTATATGTGGTATTAAAAAAAAAAGAGTAAAACCTATGAAGTTACATTAGCTAAAATCATTCTACTCCTGGCTTATTTCCAGAGGAAATATTAGTTCTTGATTGATATCCTTGTGTTCTTCCTAATACATCTGCTCTTAGATACTTTTGGACGTTAGTCTAATTAGAACCTTTGGTCTCACAGTATGCCTGTTGATATGGCTCTCTATATCATTTATTGATCCAATTTTATTCAAAAGCAATCATAACTTCTATTATCTGCTAGCTGATCACATTTTCTGAAACAATAGACAGAACATGAGAATAAGAAAGGCAATTCTTGTTGTAATCTCATGTTGTAATTTGTGATGGCTTCATCCTAAATTTAATTATTAACAATAATTCTGAAATCTAGAACAAATTTATACCTGCATAAAATAATATACCTGCATAAAATATCTTAGAAACACTTATTTTTTGTTTCAGGTTCCAAATATTCCATTTTGATATTTTCTATATTATATGAATATTTCTCCATTGAGCCATTTATTATGTTAAAGAAATCATTTTGACATAAAAGTTGAAATCTGGTGTATGTATAGTTGTTACTTTATGGGAAAAAACATAGGTCAGTTAAAACATTCTAATGGTTATGATAAATTTTAGTAGAGAAATTACCTCAAAAATCATGCTGTTCATAAATATCTATATACATTTTAGTGTTTTATGTTTTGAACAGTGTAACAGGCTTTACAATAGATTATTTTGCATTCCATTTGACTTAAAATAAGTTCTCATCATGTATAAGGATAGGCATATACTGCAAGAAAAGAGGGGGGGAGGGAAGCCACTATCAAAATCCAGGATACTACTTCAAGAGAAAATATCCAGATGATACATTCAAGAGGTAGAAAGTTTATTCAGTTTTGTGAAGGTGATGTCAATATCTCCCCAAACTGCAAGTTCATGGTTTTGTAATACTTCAATCAAAAGAACAGCATATCAGATATACTGTGAAAAATAGACCATTACTTACCAACATAAGGAAAGCTACGATGTAAATTCACAAACATAGTAGTAGAAAAATTTCATTGCACAGGCCATTTGTTAAGCCATTGTACATTTAATCAACTTTCCAGGCCTTCTGCCCAATGTTCGTCCATGGGAATATTTCTTGCTTTCTGTTCCTATGTGCAGCTGGAAAGTAAGAAAGTGAAGACAGTTCTGAAAATGTATTTTTTAATTTGTCTGTGATAATTCTCATTGAGAACAGATATCTCTTTTTCACAAGATGTCTCTTCATGTCATAATGTCTTCTTTCACTGTGGAAAAGTATAATTCTGTTTCCAAGCAAGGACATTTTGTTGTAATTATTTGAGATTTATACTATACCAATATATATATTTCTTTAAAGGACTTATCATCCTGTTTGAAATGAATTGACAGATTGACAAATTAAGTAAGATGATGGCAACAAAGGTCTTGAGATGACATTTTGTAAACACACAGAATTTACACATCAGTAGGTAGACCATATCAAGCTAAATCTGTTTGCAGTGTGTTTACATAAAGGCATATTCAGTTGATGTCATAAAAGAGCTTCACTTCTGTCATCTTGCATTTACAAAGAAAGCTTTTCCTTTCCACAAGCAGGTTATCTCTTATGCATGCTTGTGAGAGCCAGTGTCAAAATCTGCAGTGACTGTAATGCTGTAGGACTTTGCTTATTACAAGTAAGTACCTTGCAATACCAGCAGTAAAACAAATCTATGCATGCAATTTATTGTATTTCTTTGACTAAAACATATATATTTTTTATTAATTTATTTTTTATTTTTTTAGGAAGAACAATTGCATGGTATTTAAGTATTTAAACTTAAAATTACCGAAGAATATTTATTTATTTATTTATTTTTAATATTTAATGACTATCCAGCCTACTAGAGAACTTTGGAACTCCTCAGAAACAGTTCCTACTGAGAAGACATCTGCAACGATATGCCAAGCCCAAAGGAACCATGCACCAGGAAAAATAAGACAATTATCTGCTCATGAAAGATTTTATCACAGAAGTCCAGCCTGTATCCAACCCCCAAACGGATTTCTCTCTCCCTATAGGAGTATATATATATATATATATATATATATATATTTACATATACACAAATCTTCAGGATATATGGATTTCAGAAGGAAAATAGCTTTTCCAATGGAACTGTGAATAAAAACAACAACAAAAAAGAAATGTGAGATTTTATTTAATAAATGTATTTTGAAGAAATCCTAACAGAGAAAAACACAAGGAATAGTTACAGACATAATGATTAAAAATCTAAAAGGTATATATGGAATGCTAGTAAAAGTCAAAAGTCTGTGTAGAATAATATTTGGAGGTTATAAAGGCAGACAGTCAAACAAGTATTTACTAATTTAGTTACAGTCAGGTTTCTTGCTTTTCATTCTAGTAAAAAGCTTGTTTAATAAATGTGTATAAAAAAAGAATGAGATGAAATGTTAAGGTAAAAAATATTGCAACAAAGAAACTGATACCCAAGGGAAGGAAGAATGCAGTAACTGGAATAATAAAGATTTATTGTGATGTATTGTGATAAGTGAATATTACATTATTCACTTTCTGTCTCAAGGGATCTTAGATAAATGGATATATATAGAATGACCTTTCTGACATTAAGCAATTAAATAAGCAAAATAATACTCTCAGATAACCCCTAGCAAATCTAGGGAATATTATTGGATTCTATGTCGGACTGCTGTGTTGCTAAATAAAAAAATAGAAAAGAACAAAACCTACCTGGTTTACAGGGAAACTCAAGAAACAAACCAGAATGAGCACAAAGTTAGAAAGCTAAAATAAAACTTGTCCTCTCTTATATTTTATGTTTAAAATTTTAAATTATTTTTGTTTTTAATTTTGATTATTATTTTTTATTTTTATGGTGGGAACTACAGGAATTTATTACATGCTGTGTTGTCTTTAGAAGAAGCAATAGAAATTCAGTAAATGAAACTGAGATTCCACACAAATAAATAAATAAAATGCCAAAAATGACAAAATGCAGATGCCCTTTAAGTGACATAATAAACTTAAGATGAAGAAAAAACATTTTGGCTTATTTAATCCTAAAACATTTGAAGACATCTGGTCAGGTAAATTACATAGTGATTCCCACATTTTATTTCCATTTTTCTCATGTACGAGGATTAGGAAAGTACTTTGGGATTCATTTCAAAGATTTAGACAATCTGCCAGGTAGACATTGGAGATATCTACAGATTAGTGAGTTTTCTGTATCATTCTGAAATCTCCTGGAGACAAGATGAATTACAGGCTATTAAGGTCTCTTCTTGGTTCTCAGGAAGAGAGACTAGGAGAGTTAGTTTAGCTGCTAGTTTAGTTACTAGCTGGGTAATTTCATTTGCTTAGTCTAGGACTACATGAGCACCACCTCTTATGCCACAAACAACCAAAAATTAAACACACATAGGAAAGGACTTCTCATACTATACTTGTCCTGAATTGTAATGCAGAAATGATGTAGAGAAATGATATTACAGACATTTCACTATTAGATTGCCCCTATACATCCAGCTGCAAAAAAAAAAAAAAAAAAAAAAAAAAAGGAAAACTAGCTCCAGCCCTGAGAAGGACTTAGGACTTGGGGCTCTTGGTTGATGAGAAGCTCAACATAAGCTGTCACTGTGCACTTGCAGACCAGAAAGCCAACTGTATCCTGGGCTGCATTAAAAGAAGCATTACCAGCAGGTCAAGGGATGTGATTATGTCCTTCTACTACACCCTAGTGAGACCCAATCTGTAGTACTGTATTCAGCTCTGGAGCCCCCAGTGAAAGAAAGGCATATTAGAGCAAGTTCAGAGAAGGGCCACGAGGATGATAAAAGGGCTGGAGCACCTCTACTATGAAGACAGGTTGAGAGAGCCAGGCCTTTCCAGCCTGGAGAAGTGAAAGCTCCTGGGAGACCCCATCACAGTCTTCCAGTACATAAATGAGGCTGACAAAAAAGCTGGACTTTATCGGGGTAGGACAAGGAATAATGGTTTTAAACTAGAAGAGGGTAGATTTATATTAGATATTATGAAGAAAGCCTTTATGCAGAAGGTAGTAAGGCACTGGAACTGGAAGAGGTTGCTCAGAGAACTTGTGGATGCCCCATCCCTGGAAGTGTTAAAGGCCATGTTGGATAGGGCTTTGAGCAACCTTACCTACTGGGTGGCATCCTTGCCCATTGCAGGAGGGTTGGAACTATTTGATCTTTAAGGTCCCTTCCAACCCAAGCCCTTCTATGAAAAAGAAAATTTGTGGAGTAGTAGTCACAATGGCATACAGATAAATATGAATCACTTTTCATATCAACTTTGCTGCAAGACTATTTTTTTTCCCTACAGGGGATGAATGGTTGTATTCCCTGACATTCCCTGTATTTTATTTTTTTTTCCTTGTTTATTTTATCTGTTTTGTTTGTCAGTCTCAATCTTTTGTGTCTTTTCATCACTAGCAAAACTGAAAGAATTGACCTTCCTATTATAAAGAATAAGCTCATTTCCTCTTAGTATTAAATTATACGCTGAATGCATTGAACTTTTGCCACATAACAATTCCTAACATTTATTTTTTTTATTTATTTTTTTAATCTTTTTAGTGGTATGTAGAATATTCCTCTTCTGTCTTGAGTTATAATGATGATGAAAAGTCTTTACATATTTCCAATAATATATAAATGAGTGAGTTGGGACTTGTCAATTTGCTTCTCATTAAGATGCAAAAAAGTAAGACGAATAAAGGAATTAAGAAGACAAAAAAATGTAGCTTTCTCTGCTTGAAAGTATGGAAAGAAAGTTTAGTTAACACCTTGCTATCTTCTTTTGGCAATGTCTCTCCTAGAAATAAGAGAGGGCTTAAAGGTAAGAAACAGTACCATTTCCTAACCATCCACTTAACATCTTTCTCCCTGGCTCCATCTTGGAACACCACATCTAGCTGTTTCCAAGACAAAGCCCAGACATAATTTGGCTGGTTATTTCATTGGGGTTTCTTCTCCCAGCTTCGGTGTAAATGAAAACTGCTCCAACATTTGACCCCTTTTACTTACAAAATCCTTCAAATCAACCACTCCAGGATAAATGTACTCACATCTCACCCAAAGCGTAGAATAAATCCATCAGGGTTATAAAATAAACTGACCTACAGGAGGGGTACAGCAGGTTCCCGGTTCTATGTTTGATGCACTTAGAACAGAAATATATACATCTGTATAACGTTTTGAAAAGTCACACAGTAACCATAGTTTATAGGGTATCAGAAGTAACTCAAAGGACACCCAGGGACAAGCGCAAATATGTGACTGTGGGTAGCCTCCTCTGGAAGGAGAAATTCCCGACCAGTGAGGACATGGCTATGCCACCTGGTCTTGGGATCAGAGATTGGTATATGTTACTTTATTTACCAATATATACATAATTGTTGTGTTTGCAAATCAATTCATAGAATTTCAGTACACGTGAGTAACATATCAAAACATTATTTTATAAGGATTTTAAACCAGAGTTTAAAATAATCCTAGACTTATTTATTTCATATCTGTCAAAATCAGATTCTTTTATTTAGAATCCCTCAGTTGTCAGGGAAACAGATTCAAATCTGTGCAAAATTTTATTTAAGAAAAGTCTGACAGCAGAGAAACTGAAAAACCTCAACTACAGGCTTATATTCTTAGTATTCATCTTCACAGGCACATCTGATTCCCAGACTGGAATAAGTGTCTGTCTCTTGGGAACCCATATTCTAGACAGCAGCTGAAAACAGCATGACAGCTCGAAGTCTGCTTGGCTTTGTAAGATAGGTGACTGGTGAAAAAATTAAATAGAAGTGAAAAAGATAGAGTAAGACTCACCAACAGGAAACACAAACTTTTTTTTTTAATATTAATTTTAATTTTTTTTATGATGATGAGTTTAGCCTTGTCACTTGTGTTGTTATAATTCTAAAAGCTAACAATATGAATTACTTAATCACAAGACTCTATTTCTATCTGTATTCACATAATTTTCTCTACACTGCATGTTAGATAAAGGTTAGATGAAATTAGATGAAGGTTAAGGCCTAGATCCCAACAGATAACTAGGTGCCAGGAGCAGAATTTTAAAATGTATTTAACAATACAAGCCCAAATTTCAGATTTAACTTCTAAGGCACTTACTGTATTTAATAATATAAGTCCAAAACTCAGATTTGACATCTAAAGCACTTAAGTTTAAACCTTGTTTGAAGTTATATAGTCAGATATGGCTTTCACCTAGTCTGAGCAGCTCTCTAGCCTACATTCAACTGTATCCAGAAGACAGATAATTTTCCAGGTCAGTTCTCAGAAAATGCTGGAACCTCTTTAAAAGTACTTGCTACACTTCAGGAAACATCAGTGGAGGCCATTATTTTATTTTGAATCAATGAATCAAACAGAGGTTAAGGTGGGAAGGGATAATTCAGACCACCTATTTCAATTCCCTTGCTCAAAGCAGGGTCTGATAGAGCAGATTAATCAGGACCACGTACAGTCAGGTTTTGAATAATTCCAGGGATGGATATTCCACAACCTCTCTGGACATTCTGTAACAGTGTTTAAGCACCCCCAAGGTAAATAAGGTCTTCTTATGTTTAAACAGAAGTTCCCTGTTCCCACCGACTTTTTGTTACTCCAGTATGTTCATGTTTATCTTGCACTGGGGAACCTGTACCCAGTGCTCTAGATTTGTCTCACCAGTGCTGAATAGAGGAAATGGATCATCTCCTTTGACCTACCAGCAATATTATTCCTAATGAAGTCCAGGACACTGTTAGCCTTCTTTGCCAGAAAGGGACCTTGTTGGTTAGTGCTCAACTCAATGTCTACCCTGACTGCCAGGTACTTCTCTGCTAAGTTGCTTTCCATCTGGTCAGTCCCTCTGAATGACAGCTCACTTATCTAGTATATCAACCACTCTTCCTATGCTTCTCTCATTTCCGGTTTTCCTGAGGGTGTAGTTTATCCCATTATCAGGGTCATCAATGAAGACATTAAATATATTAAAAAGATATTAAAACATAAAACATATTAAAACATATTAAAAATATATTTAAATAGTACTGACCCCAGTTCAGTTCCTGGGGTACACTGGTAGAGACTAGCCTCCAACTGGATTTTACACCACTGATCATAACACTCTAAGCCTAGCAGTTCAACTAGTTTTCAGTCTATCTCACTGGCCACTTATCCAATTCATACTTAACCAGTTTGTCTGTGATGATAATAGAAAAACAGAATCATTAAGGTTGGAAAAGATCTTCAAGATCATCTGGTCCAACCATTGTCCTACTACCAATGTCACCATTTAAACCATGTCCCTAAGCACCATGTCCAACCTTTCCTTGAACACCCCCAGGGACGGTGACTACAACACCTCCCTGGGCAACCCATTTCAATGCCCGACTACTCTTTCTGAGAAGAAATGTCTCCTAATTTCCAAACCAAACTTTCCCTGGAGCAACTTGAGGCCGTTCCCACTAGTCCTATCACAAGTTACCTGCGAGAAGATGCTGATCCCCAGCTCCTCATACCTTCCTTTCAGTCCTGTGAGTCCTCCTCATAGGACTTGTGATCCAGACCCTTCACCCACCAGTTTTGTAGCCTTTCTCTGGACACACTGCAGGGCCTCAATGTCTTTCTTGTAGTGAGTAGCCCAAAACTGAACACAGTACTCAAGGTGCAGCCTCACCAGAGCAGAGTACAGGGGAATGATCACCTCCCTGGTCCTGCTTGCTACACTATTCCTGATACAAGCCAGGATGCCATTGGCCTTCATGGCCACCTGGGCACACTGCTGGCTCATATTCAGGCGAGCATCAATCAGTGGCCCCACATCCTTTTCCTCTCTACAGTTTTCAAGCCATACTGCCCCAGGCCTGTAGCATTGCATGGGGTTGTTGTGGCCAAAGTGCAGGACGTGGCAATTAGTCATGTTGAAGCTCATTCCATTGGCCTCTGCCAACCTGTCCTGGTCCCCCTGCAGGGCCTTCTTGTTGTAAGGATATGGAAACCTTTTTTGTTGCTTTTCACAACCTAGTTCTTGTCCTAGTTTTAACCTCGCACAAAGTTTTGTTTTATTGATAGTCTGCTTTCTAGGTGAGCGACAAAGACATTAGGGCACAAATTGATTTATTCTCTCAGTTTTATTCTCCAGAGTCAGTTGTCTGACATGTAAATGTTAATAATTTAGATATCCATATGTGTGTTTTTTGAATAGATCAGATCTGCTAGATGGTTTTCTAAATTCCACTGGTTTGGTTTCAGTGACCCACACATAAACACCTAATGTCACCTAACATGAGCTGACAGTTTTGTCAGAGAACATATTGGGACTCTGTATTCATCTTCAGTAGCAGCTACTATAGAGGCAGTGAAAAGGTTCTCTCAAGTAGGCACCATGTGTGTGGACAACTGAATTACATCCATTACCCTAGTACTATTACTCTTCCTTTGACTATGCTCACCTAGCTCACTTGAAGAAACTCAGATATGGGCAATTAATTGCAGGTGTCAACAATGTGAAGCTGATTCCAAACATTAAAGAAAGGTATCTGGAACCTGAAATTTAGCCCAATTCTAGTGATTTGGTTTCTTAAGTACTTCCTATTTTGCCTGAAAATAATGTTATTTTTTAAAGTTAAGGTGAATGTTAATGCTGACAGCAGCATTAACCCTCTGCCCATAAATTCTACCTGTCCAGGTCCCTCTTCAGGGCTTCCCTACCTTCTGGCAGAACGACATTTCCCCCCATCTTGGTGTCATCTGCAGACTTATTGAGGGTGCACTCAGTTCCCTCATCCAAATCATCAATAAAGATATTAAAGAGGATGGGCCCCAACACTGACCCCTGGGGAACACCACTCGTGACTAGTTGTCAGATGGCTTTCACTCCATTCACCACCACTCTCTGGGCCTGGCCATCCAGTCGGTTTTTAATCCAGCAGAGTGTACTTGTCCAAGCCATGGGCTGTCAGTTTCTCCAGGAGAATACTATGGGAGACTGTGTCTAAGGCATTGCTGAAGTCTAGGTAGACTACATCAACAGCCTTTCATCAACAGCCTCATCCACAGGGTGGGTTACCTGCTGATAGAAGGAGATGTGGTTGGTTAGGTAGGACTTGCCTTTCATGACCCTATGCTGACTGGGCCTGATGCCCCTGTTGTCTGTAGTGGGTTTACGTGGCAAGGTTTTGGTAGTGGGGGACCATAGGGGTGGCTTCTGGAAGAAGAATCCAGAAGCTGCCCCATGTTAGATAAGGGCCCTGCCACAGGCCAGAGCTGAGCCCATAAGTGATGTTGTTTACGGTTCTGTGAGAACAGACTTAAGAAAAGAAAAAAAAAAACAACAACAACAAAAAAAACACCTGTGCCACAACAGCTGCTGGTAGAGAGAGAGGAGCGATAAACAGCTTTGCAGACACCAAGGTCAGTGAAGAAGGAGGGGAAGAGGTGCTTCAGGCAATGGAGTAGAAGTTCCCCTGAGGCCTCTGGTGAGGACCATGGTGAAGCAGGATGTCCCCCTGCAGCCCATGG